GAGTGAAATGGAGATGGAGTGAGAAAATAGGTTTGGAGGTTTGGGTTTGGAGGGGATGCTGTGGAGAAGTGGAGTGAAGGTTGATCTAAGCATGGTTGGAGGTTGATAGTGGGTTATGGATATGGAAGATGACACCGAGAGAGAGAGAGAGAGAGAGAGAGAGAGTGCTGCAATTCGAAACTTGTTAAGGGTTGGTTTGGGAAGTGGGTTGACTTTTTGACTTTTTGGCTTTTTTAGCTATTTTACCCAGGGCTAAAACGCTTGGTTTGGGAAGGATTTTTTGACTTTTTGGCCTTTTTGACTTTTTTTGTGAGAGAAGAGTGTAATGATTATGAGTTGGATGTGATGTTTTGTTTGTTATGGCTAAAATAACCTATTTTGTCTTTTGTGACTATTTTAGCCAAAAAAGCCCAAAAAGCCTCTTCCCAAACAGAAGGGGATTGGCTTTTTTGGTTTTTTATGCAAATATGCTATTTTAATAATTTTTTTGATTTTTTAATTAAAATATAAGTTTAAAAAATTAATATATTTAAAATGATTTTTTAATTTTTTACAAAAAAGTATGTACAAAGTAAAGAGAAAATAAAACCTTTGATTTTTTAGTATAAATTATAAACTTTTTGATGTTTTTAAGCTCCGTTTGGCAAGTTGGTTTGTGGCTATTTTAGCTACAACCAACCAAACATCACATCCAATCCATAATCATTACACTCTTCTCTCACAAAAAAAGTTAAAAAAATCAAAAAATCTTTCCCAAACCAAGCTTTTTAGCCCAGGCTAAAATAGCCAAAAAAATCAAAAAGCCAACCCACTTTCCAAACGGAGGCTTAGTAACTTTTTTATTTTTAAGCTAAAACACTCGCATGCCAAATGAGGCCTTAGTCTCGTTTAGGATAAAATATTTTAGTTAAAAAAGTACTATAAATTATTATGTTTTTCTCTATATTTTTTTATAAAAATTTAAAAAATTATTAAAATAATTTATTCCCAAATGTGATTAATTCTTTTTTTAAAAAAATTTAATAACTTTTTTTAGTATTTTGAAAAAAACAATCTCAAAAATAATTTTCAAAAATAGTTTGCTAAACGAATTTCTTATATCATTCTCTTTGTCTAATAATTCACGAAATATGTTACCTTATGTTTATTTTTTGTGTTTACAAATCATATATATATATATATAAATGTTATTTGTTTTATTTTTTTTTAAATATCAAAAACAAAAATATATTTCAAACTTTCTTTAAATGCATAAAACTGTCATCATTATGTACCAAAAAATTATTGTGTTTGGTGTGAGTTTCAAATCAAGTTTCTACCCTTCTATTTGAATGTTATGTTTGGTTTGAGTTTTCAAATTATAATTCCAAATCAATTTCAAAACACATTTTGAAAACATGTTTGGTAAACTAGACAATTATTAAATTTTTGGTCTACCCGGTCGTTCGCCCTTACATTCTTCCGGTTAACGGAAACAATAACTTTTTTTTTTTTTTTTGCAATTGCCAATCGCCACTTGTTATTTGGAAGTAAAAATATATATATTCGTTTTTGATATTTTTCAAATATACAAATTATTTTTTTGGACCAAAATGATAAATTATTATTTTGAATTGAATTTTAAAAAGAGTTTGGTTATGAGTTTTAAATAGAATTTTCAATAGAGTTTTGAGTTGTGTATTTAGTTATGAGTTATAAGTTTTTGAATTAAATTTTAAAAACTCTTTTCAAAATTCATAATCAAACAACTTTTCACATTTCATATATCACATCAAAAATTCAAAACTCATAACTAAACAAATTTTCTCTTTTCAAATCATAATTCCAAAACTTACAAACTTAAAATACAACTCTATTTTCAAATCATAATTATAAAACTCTACCAAACATTACCAGGAGTTTTTCACACCCACTTTTTTCATAGATTTGAACAACAAAGTGAGATTGCTCTATGTAATGGAATAACACAAAATCTCCAATTTCTAGACCATGTTCGAGTGAAAAAGCAGACCATCCCTGTTGGAAAGCCAAGGACCCATCATATTTGGATAATGTTATCGTCCACCTCTGCCCACTTGTGTAGACACCCCATTTTTGACCGATCTTAAGACTCAGACGTCACCAACTGAGCGCTCGGTGATGTTGCATATTGTGCTCGTTCTGAGGTTGCGAAGTCTCGGCTGCGAGCCTTGCCTCCAGACTTCGGGGCTCTTTTGTGCTTTACCTCGGTTTGCGAACCAGGTCTTGTTTTCTCTATTTTCTCCTCCCGAAGGGAGGGAGAGGTCTCGTAGACCATCTCTCAGTGGCCGTAGGCTACGTTTCGTGGTCGTAGGCCATTTTTCCCGTTTGGAGCCCAGTTTTTGGTTTTCAGAACCGTCGGCCGTGTGCCTTGGTTCGAAACCGCTTAACTACCTCCGTTTGCTCCGATTTTTGCCACACACCTTGTTTCCTCCCTTTAGAGGGACACTGTGGCCCAGGAGACCACCTTCATGGTCATACGCCACTTCTGGTGCCTAACAGCTTGTTTTTGGGGCCTCGAACTGCGCTTTTTGGCCCCCGAACCCTCGTTTTGCATCCGTCTTGGTCCATTTTTGGTAGGGACCCTATTTTCATTGTTAGGGAGGTGGTAGTATGGTGGGAGGCCACCTTTTTCCCTTGGAAATCAGTTTTCTCTTTTTCTCTCTCCTCCAGCCGGTTTTTTGGCAGAAAGCTGATTTTTCTCACTTTTGAGCCATAATTTCTAGCTTTTCATACCACCATTGTGTTGTGCTCATCTGGGAGGCCACCAATATGGGTAGGCCGACCAGTAATTCTTCTCCACCCTTTTGAACCTTGCTAAAAAGCTGATTTTTCTCTCTCTTGGGTCACTTTTTCTGGTTTTCCATCATACAGTTGTGTTGCACTCATCTGGGAGGCCACCTTTCTGGGGTGGCCGGCCAGCATTTCTCCTTGAACCTTTTGACCCCTGGTCAGCCGACCAGGGGGAGTGGCCGGCCGACCACCTTAATTGGTCGGCCTGCTTCTTGCTTTTTGCTCTCTCTGAATGCATCACAGCTGTGCCAGCTGTGAGGCATTTGGACCATCCTCCATACAGTGTATGGTGGATATTTGAAGCTTCCAAGAGAAGCTTTGGCCTCTCTTCTCTATAAGAGAGGCCCTCCTCTTCCATTTGAAGGGTTCAACAATTTTGTGTAAGGCTTATACACCTCCCCCTCCATAGCTCACTATTCCAAGCTCCAAACCCTAATATTCTTACACCATTTGCACTACACCTCATAGCCTACCACCTCCACCATCCATCCAAGCATCTTGGAGCTGATTTTCAGAGGTTAAAGAACTCCCATCTTGGTCCAGAAGTTGCTGGAAATCTGCTCTTCAAGGGTGAGTCTCTATTTCCCCTTTTCTTGCATTATTTTGCTCCATTGATTAGCCTTGCTTGCAAGCATTTTCGAGATTTTACATGAACTGAAAAGTGTCTTACTTTGAGCCCCTCTTGAACTTTGTTTAAGGACACTTTTCTGTTTGAGGTCATCTACCTCCTTGTATGCTCCATTCTCTCTTTTAAGGCTTATTTTGCATCATATCTTAGCCTTATTTGCAAGAATTTTTGAACTTCGACATAAACTAGAAAAAGTCTTGTTTTGATCTTATAAACATGTTTGTTTAAGGACTCTTTTCTGTTTGGGGTCATCTTCCCCCTTGCATGCTTCATTTTCTCATGTTTTGAGCTATGCATTAGAACATTTGCATTGGCCTTGGTTTGGCCTCTTAGCCACTAAACTGAAATCCAATGGATTTTTAGTGGCTTAGATGTGTCTTTGAGCCTCAAAATCAGAGAGGGGTGACCCTCTCACCCCTTGTTCTCTTTACTAGCATTGTTGGCCTTTCAAAGGGACTCTTTTTTGCATGCATTGAAGTCATGTTTCAGGCCTCATTTTGTGAGTTTTAAGGTCTGCCTAAGCTCTGTCAAGAGCCCATTTTGCCATATTTTATGTCTATGATGCATGTGTAGAGCAATCCCATTCAAGGCCTTTCAAAGGGACCTTTCTTTGCATGTTTCCTAGACTGATTTCAGGGCCTATTTGGTGGGTTTTAGGGCGGTCATAACTCATTTCCAGAGGTGGTTTTGCCCTTTTGTTTGTCTATCATATAGGTGTAGAATACCCCCTTGCATGGCCTTCCAAAGGAGCCCCTCATTTTTGCATGCATTGACTGAGTTTCAGTGGGTATTTGGGCATATTTTGGCATGAAATGCTTCTGTTTTTGGTTGGTTGGGTGAGCCTTCATATGCTTCATATAGTTGTAGAACAACTAATGGTTCACTAGCTTTCTTTGCATGCTTTGTGGACCCTTGATGTTAGCACTTTTTGGCCATGCCTTAAACTGATAATGTACTTATTTTGGACCACCCTAGCTCTGTTTTTAGGCCTCATGGTCGAATGATGTTTGTTTTGCATGCTTGTAGTTCAATACCCATGCTTAACTTTGAGTTTTGAGGTCCATTGCATGCATGTGCTGAGGTGTGTTCATGTTTTGAGGTCATTTTTCATCATATTTCAGAGCTGGTTTGAATGTCATATTGCCATGTTTTCATCTCTTTAAGTGTGCTTGAGAGTTGTGCGTGAATGCCTTGTTTACCGACCAATGAATGAGCTTCATTTTCATGCATGTTGAGCCATCATTTTAGGCCAATTTCTCACTGTTTCAAACCTGCCTAAGGTCTGTTTGGGGTTGGTTTTGCCTTTGGTGCATTGCTTTGGGTACCTCTAGTGTAACGCACTTCACTAGTTTCGGTACCCGGGCCCCCTAGCTTGCATAGTATGCCATGTTTGCATGATTCGGGACCACTGTTTATCATGTTTCAGAGCTGTATCATATGTGTTTGTATGCCATATTGCATCCCTTGCCATGCTTTGGTAGAGTGGCATGTTATGCCTTAGGATCGGTCCTTGGCATTCGTGCGCGTTTGCATGCATTTCGGTTGTTTCATTCCTTATCGTATGGCCATTGATGTGAGTGTGGCTGAGGTCCACTCATGTTGGTGTAAGTCCATCGTGCATTGTGTATCAGTCCATAGCATTGCGTATGCTAGGTTGTATGTTAGAGCATTGTGTATGCCATTTCATAGCATTGCGTATGCCATTCATAGCATTGCGTATGCTAGGTTGTATGTTAGTCGCATTGTGTATGCCATCTCATTTGCATTGTGTTTGGTATAGGAGTTAGCCCAAGCACGGGAAGCGAGGGACGTTTCGTACTCCGAGTGACGGAACGTGTCTCAATTCCTGGTCGCCGACACTCCGGATTACCCATGATGGAGTTTAGGTCTCGTTGTGTTTTTATGTGCATTCATTTCACATTGAGTCGTGCAATTCGACTCCTCGGCCATCATGCATCGAGATGCATGATTGGTGGCATGAGGATCGAGGACTACATTCCCTAAAGAGTAGTCATGCATACATATGTGAAAATACTTTGCCATGCCCCTTTGTTGCTCTCTGTTGCAGCAAATCAGAAATCAGCAGCCTTCTGGAGCTTTGCACAATATTCCAAGAACAATTGCAAATAGAGGCAAACTGGGGCATCGCAATGGATTTCCGCGCAAGGCAACTCGAACATGCATCATTCATCATTCGGAACAGAGCTAAGGCGGTCCATGGATTTGCATACCTAGTTTACTGCTTTCCTAGTTAATTTATTAATTAATTAGGGCTTTGTATTTATTCGGACTGTATTATTCATTCGGACTGTATTATTTATTCGGACCCTCCGAGCGAGGGCATAACTGTAATAAGTGTGCGTGTGTGTGTATGTCTTTCAACCCCACGTCTTTCTCCCTTTTATTTACCAGCTTATGATGGTTAGATTAGGGCATATTTCAATTAGCATACAGTATAATAGCATGTTTGCATTAATTATGCTTCTGGTTACATTCACCATGCTACTATCAAAGATTTGACGGTACAAATATATATGCATTAAATGTATTTTTTGAGCTTTCTAACTTCTTTTTCATGTAGTTTGACACAAAATACTTCTATGAAGTTGCGTCTAATGAAGTTACCCGTCAGTTCTCCTTCACAACTCCTCCCAAGCCAGGACCTGACGTTTCTTACACCTTTGGTGTCATAGGTTAGGGTAATCTAGGGAATTTTAGTTTATTTATTTAATTCATCATTCATTACATTTTGTATAATGTTAACATTATTTTTGTGCAGGTGACTTGGGACAAACTGCAGATTCCAATCGAACTCTAGAGCATTATATGTCGAACCCAATAAAAGGCCAAGCTGTGCTATTTGCTGGTGATCTTTCATATGCTGATGATCACCCTAACCATGACAATACCAAGTGGGATACATTTGGTCGTTTCATTGAGAAGAGCGTTGCGTACCAACCCTGGATTTGGAGTGCAGGCAATCATGAAATTGACTTAGCTTCTAATTTGGTAAGACACCAAATAAATATGTTCTGTTCATTGTCACCGATCTCATTTCTCTGTCATAAATTATTTTATGGATTATATCATCTTCTTTTTTAGGAAGAAACCGATCCTTTCAAGCCATATTTGCACCGCTATTATGTACCCTACAAGGCATCCCAGAGTACTTCCCCATTTTGGTATTCAATTAAGCGTGCATCGACATATATCATTGTTCTTTCTTCTTACTCAGCCTATGGTATGAATCTTCTTCTTTTTTTCTTTTACATACAACCTTTAGGCACGAGCAGTAGCACCAGCAGGTGTACATTGCTTGGTATTTAAATTAATTTTTTTAGATTGCAGAGCACTGGTTGGTGTGCATTTCAATTTTAATTTTCTTAAATTTTAATTTTTTTTTTGAATTGCAGAATACTGGCTGGTGTGCATTGGTTGGTGTAATTTTTTTTGGATTATAGAGTGTTAACAAATGTACAATGCCTTGGTTTGTATGTTTTGTTTTGTGTTTACAATTGTGTCAAATAGGACCTATGGGGATAGACGGGACATAATTAGCACGTATACGTTGGGAGTTGGTGTGAAAAATGTCGTAAACTTAGCCGAAAAAGGCCTTCAAGGGCCGAAACTTGAAAGCAGCCCCTGAATCACTATAGGGATGGCACGGGTAACTTCCTTGCATCAAAATTGAAACAAAACATGCCATAAGGCTGACCGGTTACGGGCTCTGCCAGTGTGGGAACACAAACCCATTTTTTACCGGGGCACCCTTTTTGACCATTCGACCTGGTGCATATTCGGAATCCATAGTGACCATTCCAAGCTAGGACAGGTTGCTTACCCGATATAGGTTGTTTGAAACCGCTGCGTGCATAGTGAAACCCTAGTTCCTGACAAAATAGGACAGGGAAACCCTACCCAATATAGGGGTGTTTTGGCTCTCACTTGCTTGTTATGTGCTTTAGAGTGCATCTCTACAGGGGAATGCATGTATCAGTTTGCAAGTTTGGGCATCAAGCCTGCGGGCACCAGTACAGTATTTTGGGAATCAGTCATCTGCGAGTATCAGATTCATTTTAGGGACAGTGATTTAGGGATAATGATTAGTGTTTGAGAACAGTATTTGCAGCTTATCAACTGAGTGTTGTGATGCCCAACTGTGTGTTGTGTGTTTATCTTAAGCCGTTATGCTCTCCGTTTGTCTGGTTGTTTATTTCCTTATTATTGCTTTATTTATCTTTTTGCTAGGTAGTTTAGCACAATTGCTTCAGACCAAGCAGATATTCCCCAAGCACTCTGGACAAGAGGTCGCCGACTCAATTGATCTGAGGATCTGGTCGACGGACAGCTAGTGTTCCACTCTCTACCCCCATTTATCAGACGGAGGCCGAGAAAACGTAGTGTATCCGAGCAAAGATTGCCAGATCAGTGGACTTTGAACAGTCAGGTTGAGTTTCCCGAGGCTACTCCAGAGATAGACCTACCGGTAGTTCAGATAGATCAAGGCAGTATGGCAGGAACGACAGGAGTTGAGGAAATGATGCGTCAGATGCAGGAGACCATGAGAGCCATGCAGGAGGACACTTTCCGTCAAGCAGAATTTGCCAAGCAGCAGGCTGCAATCATGGCCCAACAGGCAGAGCTAATCACCCGGCTACAGCAGCAAACCGGAGCATCTGCTTCGCACCAAGCTCCTCCCCCACCAGGAGTTCTGCCACCCGGGGAGGTACCAAATGTCCAAGGAGAGACGGACATTCCAACAGGGCTGGCTCCGCCCCCGATTCTACCTCAATTGTCCAAGGCACCTACGCCTATCAATCAACCAAACTCTCCCTTCGAATTCCAGGTCGACCTTACAGCACTGAAATTGAGCAAGCTCGAGAAGTTGTTCAAGAAATCCCAAGGGGTAAAGGTTATCCCGGATATCGAGGATGGATATACCGATGTGGCTATAACGCTGCCAGATAGGTTCAAAATGCCGCAAATCGATCACTTCGACGGATCTGGCGATCCCATGGTGCACCTCCGGTTATTCTCAAATATACTACGGCCGATGGGCCTCACCAGACCATAGAAGCTTTCATTATTCGGCCGGACCCTGTCGGGTGTGGCCGCTATCGATATGCGAAATTAGAGGATGATGTCAAGCGGAGTTGGGATGAAATGGTTGAGGCCTTTGTTGCACAATACTCTTACAATACCCAAATCGAGATTACAACCCGTGATCTTGAAACAACAAGGCAGGAGCCTAAGGAGAGCTTCTCGGATTTCGTAACTCGGTGGAGGGCGAAGGCTTCAATGATGACCCTAAGGCCTACTGACAAAGATCAAATCTGGATGATTGTGCGCAATCTCCAGCCTAAGCTGATGCAAAAAATGATCGTGCTCCCCTTCCCTACCTTTTCAGATTTGCATGAGATGGGAGTACAGATTGAGGATGCCTTGAAGCAAGGCTTGATTGATAATGACAGAGAGCAACCCAGAAGAACCTTCAACCGCAACAACAATACAGGCACTAGCAATGTCGCAAATGCTAGAGCTTCAGAAGTAAGCATGGTCACCACCATTCCCCCTCCCAGACCCATGGCGGCTACACCTTTCTCCGGCGCGTCCGGAAGTAACACACAAACCACCAAATACCAACCTCGAGGCCAGAGAAACTTCACCCCGTTAGATATGCCCCTGTCCAAGGCTCTAGGGGTATTAATCAGGAAAGGGCACTTAAAGCCCCTGGAACCGAGGCCATTGCCAAATCCACTCCCTCCCTCTCATAACCCAGCAAAATACTGCGCATATCACCAACAGTATGGTCACGACACTGACCAATGTTTTAGATTGCGTCATGAGATTCAGGATCTCGTTGACAAGCAGGTGATTGTGCCTCCGAAAAAATCCAATGTCACAACAAACCCTCTCCCACCGCACAACCAAGCTTCACCCCCCAAACGAATCAACTTTATCCAAACTGGGGTCGTGTCTTACGATCCTAACATATATATTACCTCGTCCCACCTACCCAAGCCGGAGGTGCTCCTTCCTGACTGCACTGACTTGTGCATGTTGGACATCTCCATAACCCGACCCGAGCCAATAGTGTGACTGTAGAAGACAGAACAAGGGAGATTTCAGGGCAGAATGGGTTTGTTGAGTCAGAATCTGAGGAACCTGGGAGTTTTGCTGAGGAGGTTTACAGCCCGAGTGACTACATTCTATCAGTAGGCCAGGTTGGGCCAAATGTGGAATTGCCGGCAGGGGGAGAGCTTTGTGTGATACAGGGGGATGGATTTAAGCAGAGGACAGATGATTTGGCGGCTGTGGAAGAGGACTTTGCCAACCTCCAGTTTTTCAACGACCAAGATCCAGGGGACATGGCAGTCAACTGGTTTGATTTTAAGGAATCAGCGGAGGTTACCGGGTGGCTGGATGATCAACCAAATGTTGCGGAAGAGTTCCAACCAGAACAAGGCCCGGCAGGGGCGGGAATATCAATTGTGGCCGGAAGGGCCGGAAATCATAATACATCGCCGGGGAGCGCCGGTGCTAAGAATTTCACTCTGGACTTGGGCATTGTGAATGCGGGAAGTGTTGATCAGCCAGCTGTACTGACGCAGTTGGAACAAAAAGGAATCGAGGAATTTGAGAGAATCAGAAAAGCTAAGGCCTCGGAGGGGACTGAAAATGCTGTTGGCATGAGGATAGATAATGGTACGAGCATGTGGACGGAAAGTATTGCGAGTACGATTGAACCGGAGCTGGACAGGTGTCTGTTGGCTGCCGATGGAATGTGGTGGGAGGACGATGATCTATGTCTTGCCCACACGGATGAGGATTGGGGGAGCAACCAGCCAGACGATACCTGGTACATTGGTGAAGTCGATCATATAACTAGAAACGGGCGGTACTTCAAGCCCCCGCACCTAGATCAGCCAGAGGCATCTGGGAAAGATAAGGAGGCTGAGAAACAGAAAGAGAAGCAACTCGAAGAAGAGGCTGTACTGAAGCAGTTAAAGAAGATACGGGCAGACATCTCCATCTGGGGACTGCTTATGGCATCGCGAGTGCATCGACATGCTGTCTTATCGGCCATGGACAAAGCCAAGCTCTCAATAGATACCACGCCTGAACAGCTGGTGGGCTTAGTTTTTCTGGGAGGAGCTACCCCGATGTTAACCTTCTCCGACAAGGAGCTACCACCTGAGGGTGCGAGTCATAACAAGCCACTCTACATCTCCGTGGAGTGTAGAAACAAATGGATACCCGTGGTACTTGTCGACACAGGGTCCGCCATCAATGTGTGCCCGGAAAGAACCGCATATGCCATCGGTTTAAAGACCGCGAACTTTGTGCCAACAGCCCAGGTGATTCGGGCATATGAAACACAAGCAGAGAAGTAATGGGGACAGTGAAAATTCAGACCAAGGTTGGGCCGGGACAGCATGAGGTAGACTTTCACGTCTTAGAAGTTCCTGCGACCTTCAATCTACTTTTGGGGCGGCCGTGGTTGCACCAAGTAAAGGCAGTTTCGTCCACCTTGCATCAGATGGTGAAATACCCCTATGGGAAGGGAGTAGCCATCATTTTTGGGAATTCATCGATCCATCCACCGCCGGAGGTGTCTACGCCAGTCCTAGAAATTGAGCATGGTATGGAGGATGTGTTCTTATCCGGTTTCACTCTGGCTGAGGCCTGGGTCATGCAGAACATTCTGGCTGTTAATGAGGGGGTGTATGTCAGTGCTCAATCAGTATACCTCATGAACAAGCTTCAACACATCCCCGGGATAGGGAAAGAGCGGCCGGAAGGGCGTTGCAGCGTTGGCCGAAGTGCCGCACAACCCACATACCTTTGGTTTGGGTTATCTACCTACCAAAGAGGATTGGATAAGGAAGGGTAAGGAGATGGCTGGGAGAGCCAGAGCAAAAAAGGTCGGGAAGCCTTATGAGCTAATGCACCGACCCATCCAGGGTACCCTAAACGGACACTTCGTCCAGGAGGGAGAGGACTTTCCGTTTTGTGGCTTCCCAGAGCCGTGGCTGAATGCGGAGAGGAAGCGCATGCCAATTTTTGAGATTTTCTTTGACCTACAGTTATCCGGGGATGACGTTGCGGAAGAGCAGACGGACCCATTAGCCAAGGCTGAGCAGAGCAAGAAAGTGGAGTCTGAGGATGCCGAAAGTGAAATGGGGGTAGCGCTGGCGTGTCTACTTTCAGATCCTCCGATCGAACAGAAGTGCTTGGGGGATAACTTCACAGTATGTGTGATCGGGAATGAAACGGCTGCAGGCCTACCAGCAAACATTTTGGATGCATCTATCGCACCCTCTCTCATTTGGCAGTATGAAGAGGAATTTCTGT